GATGAGAAAGAGAGAGAAGGGAGAAAAGAGAGAGAGAAAGAGAGAGAGAGAGAGAGAGAGAGAGAGAGAGAGACAGTCGAAAAGGTGAGAAGTAGAAAGCGAGAAAGAGAGAAAACGATAAAGAACGAGATAAAAAGAGAGAGAGAGGAAAAAAACATACATACGGACAGATACTGTAACCTGTTCAATAAATTTTCAAATTATTTGTCATATACATTGATATTGATCACTGTAATAAATTTGAACTATACAACCATTGTCCATTTTTAAATATAATGGGAAACCTCACAAGAATATCAGTATATACTAGGTCTAATGAGACTAGGAAAAATAGGAGTAAGATTAGGATTGGTTGCACGAAATCTTGTTGCACGAAATCTTGTTGCAAGAAAAATTGCACGAACCTATCCGGTCAAAAATAAGATAGCGTGACGAACTGACGGTGAATTTTATCCAAAATACTTCACGAGAAGGCCACCCGGATGTAAACTCATCTGGTGCGGCCACACATACTTGATACCATTTCATCCAAAACACTCTTACAAAGCTTACCTTAACCCTCACTACCGGTATATGTTTATAAGCTCTAATTAACTTATATGTTAATTTTCTTTTTTTGTGTGTCAGAAGTACTAACTTACCCAGCAATTACGATCTCGTCTGCAAAGGTTATTCTTGTGCTCCCTCAAATTTACGTTCCTTTTTGAAGTCTCCCGTCCCAATATCATCCCACGCGAATATATTCAACCTTTTGAAATCCCACTGATAGAAATCCACGGTACGAAATTTAATCACAAACTTTATAACATGTTCTATAGCCGGCCTCACCAACCGCCCTAGAAACCACGCTTACACAACCGAACTAAGAAAAAACTTCTCAAAAATAATGAATAAGATCATAACTCAAACTGAATCACTAAAAGTGCAGACATATAATGTAAAGATTTCACAGAGCCTAAGAAACGAGCAGCAAAAGGGAGATGAAAACTCGACGACATTCCGAATATGGAGTGGCAAACATATTGGCTTGCTTGCCGCGGTCACAACTCTCCTAGGATATAAAGTGTGCAGCCGACGGCGCGGTAAAGTGTCTATTGAAAGTGAACAACTTTAAACGTAGTTCAAACTTTTGAAATCTCAATTGACCGAAACCAAAGTGTTCATATGGTCGGTGTCTCGTCAGGACTATCCACGCACTGGTGAGTTCGATCACCTCTTGCTGTTGACGGTGTTGAATATTAAAAAGTCAGTTTCCTGCAACTTATCATTTGTTAGTTTTGAACCTCCAGTTCTGGAAACTCAACAAAAGAGCAGTCAATTTTTTATTAATTTTGAATGATATTGCTGAACAACACTTTTTGATTAAGCATCCTACGAGAAAATTTAATTACCCAGAAATATCCAACCAGCATTGCATCAATTTTACAATAAGTTACCTTATCACAATTAAAATCAAGTTTTCCTAATTTTTTCCAGATGAAATTAAGTTATATTAGAAGAAAAAAAAAGGACTTCAAAGTTTTTTGCGTGTGGCCTTATGCTCTTTTTCACTTTATAATGGTACAAAACAGTGATTAATTTGTTTGTGACTCTATCACAAGCGAATCGTCTCGGTGAAAAATCAATTTAACAAGTCGAATATATTATAATGATCGATTAGAAAACGTTTTTATTATTATCAGAAGAAACAGAACAAAAACACTTCAACAGTACTTAAAAGTCGAACAATGTGTACATTGTTTTGTTGCTTTTTTCAACTAATATTTTCAAGTATTATGGATGTTATATTCTTTGGATGTAACTTCAGTTTTGATTCTAAACTGATGAGAGATTACGTCAATCACACTCAGCGCACAGGTAGAGAGCTGCGAAAACTTGAGTCATTTTTAAAACAAAACATAACGTCAAATCAAGATTGCTTAATTTTGATAATGATTCTCGCCATCTATGCAGATTTACAAAGAGTTTTTTCATGATGACTTCACTTAGCTCTACTTAAGAACCGTGAAAGCTAAGTCGCTTTTGATTTTGTCATGCTAGATTTTACTTTTGTCAAATCAGCATATCTTCAATATCATAATTATGGTTCTCAACTAGCTATATACTTTAATATGCTCTGATTTTCTTTTTCTTATATATGTGAAATATAAAATTTACAATTTGATCAGTTTAATAAATTTTAACTTTCACATTTTTTATTTGAAAGTCCAGTTTTGATCTTTAATTTCATGAATCTTTTTCACCCTTTCGAGACCCTTCTGAATGGGCATTCAAGTTAACGACTTATTTGATCATAAAAAATTACAATTACTTATTTCGTAAAATTGGTTATTAAAAACAAACTGGTTAAGTTATTCAATTTATAACAATGAGTCGGTCCTTGCAAAATAGTCAGGCACACCGGCCAAATTTTTATTTGTCAAAGAACACCAAACCTCCTGAAAACAAACACCAAGTCGTATTAAAAAACAATAAAACAGAAAATTACAAATCTACCAGCGAAGAAAAAAGAGTAATATCACACATGACAGCAGATAATTTGAATGAAATTGACGAAAAATTAGCGGAAACAAAATATATTCCAGGAAAGAAAAACGTGTCAATTCCTTTGAAAAAGTTGAACACAATTAATAGCTCGCAGCCATCCAATCCGACAAAAGACGGTTTCGCAGCTTTGGGCAGAATTCGAAAAGTGCATCAGCAGAACAAGGAGAATTATCAAAGATCGAGATCATTGGAGACAATTTCAAAACAACCCAAAACTGAACCTGAAAACAAACAAGGCTTAGACGAAGAAGCAAGTACAGTCTTAGCTGAGAGCAATTTGATGACAGGTCAAAGTCAGTTGAAAAGTCACTACGTCAGAAACAGCCGAGATTCGAACCATATGTGGAGTCAGAATATGAAAAAAATGAAATCCCAGAACGAATTGTCACTAACGGCAGAAAACGTAAGTCAAACAAATTCAGTTTTTAGAAAAAACTTAGCTTTGCTAAATAATGGACAGCAGAGAAAAAAATGCTCGTATCAACTCTATTTTCAAATTCGAATCAACTCTATGTTCAACCAGAATTTCCTTAGGGAAAAATTGTCCATGAAACACAAAGCATTCATTCCATTCGTTTTATTGAATCGCAACATGTTTTTTTTAAATTTCATGAACAAAAGAGGCATTGTTTTTCATCAGTTTTTATACTCAATAACTTCGGCAAAAAATCGTTTGTTAAACTTTCCTTTCTGTACTCGTTTTCTGTTCTCTCTTGAAAATTCGAACCAAGAATTTTTTCAACTTTCAACATATAGCAATAATCTTGCCCTGCCAATAACAGTCGAAATAAGCAAATCTTTGAAATCTCCTGCGGTCCTTCACGTCACTAGTATAGTTTTTGTTTCAAAAGTTTGCGAAACTTTCAAAAAAAACATGCCTACGCGCTTTATCCATGACATATCAATTTGCGTCTAGTCGTTAGCTTGATTCCATAAGGACAAAGTACTCTCTAATAACCATCAAATCATTTTAGAGCTTTTTAAATTGCCTGTGTTTTAGTAAAAGTTCTGAAGCAAAAAGGAATAATGTGACATGTTGAAAGCCCATATAGTCAACAAGGACATCCGGTTACTGTGCAAGTAGCACAGAATGGTCCGACCATAGTCTTTAGAAAGCTACGGTTTAGATTTTTTTTGTCAAATTAGTGTAGTTTTTTCTGCTTGGTGCGATAAAAGGATCTGAAGTAACAATATAATTTAGGCATATTTGACAGTCATAGTAATCTAAGCAAAATTGACAAAAATTTTTGTAGAAAATGACCAGAAAAACTAAAAAAAAATTATTAGAAAAAAATTTTTTGTTCAAAATTTTTTGAAGAAAATTTTTATTATTTCGAAGTTTTTGGTGACCAAAATTAAGCTAAAAACTCCAAAATTTCATTTTGCTTGCCTTAAGTTAAGTTTTAAGATTTTAGTGGTTGAAGGGCTGCTTGCTTGCTTTATTCGCCCGAATTAAGACAAAAATCAAAAACTTCAAAACGGTTTTTCTCGACACTAGAATAAAACGTTGAGATTTTTTTTAATGTGGTTCAAATCACGACTGAACGAGCTTTATTATGATATATCACTCAACCCAGTCCGATGATTATTTTGCGTCGAAAACCTGATTTTGCGTCGAAAACAAAAAGAAAAAAAAACAAAAACACATCCGAATACAAAGTTCCTCCCCATTTTCGATGGTCGGAACATAAGTTGAAATCAGAAAAAGGTCACTTTTTTGACAAACATGTGAATTTGCTAAAATAAGCCTCAGGTTAACGAAAATTTGCATTCTGAGCAATGAGCAATTTCATGCCGTAAGATGTGTATTGAATTAATTTTGAACCCATTCGGCAAAGACTTTTAATGAACTCATAAAGTTTTGTTAAACATAATTCCATGATACTGTGCTGATAGTTTGTTTGTCGAAAAACTTAGAACCGAAAAATTCTAAAGTTTTCAGAGTGCTAAATTGAAAACAGGCAAATCTACGCAAAAATGAATATGTACCATCGTCAAATAAACGTTTTGAACATGATAAAATAATAACTATCATACCGAGCCTTGTTAATTGCGCTACCCCAGGATTTACAGTAGCCCAGCAAGTTTTTTCATCGTCAAACTCTACGTAATGCTTTCGATCCGACAAAGAATTTGTATCTGCACTTTTTTCCATCTGTCATTTTGTCTCTTTTTGTTGAATTGTTTGTATTTCAGTTTCTCGCGTTGTTATGTTATTTTCATTTGAATTGATTATATATTTCACTTTTTCTTTGGAAGTCAGACAACTGATAAAAAATAATTAAATTTTTAAAATCTTGTAAAGGAGAAATTGAAAAATTTCACAATAACTGAAAGATGCAGATTTGCAGATTTCAGTGGTTTAAGGCCAGTTTGCTTGCTTTATTGTGAGATTTATGAACTTTTTCAAGTTCTTTTTTACAAAATTTTAAATAATTTTAAAGTTTTGAATGCTTCCCTCAGTTTTGTCTTCTTTCACTCATTAAATAGAGTATGTTCCTTTAAATTCAGTTGCTTAATTTCTTTAGTCAACCATGATTTTGTGTTTTTCGTTGAAGCAATTTTTGTTTTGATTTTTGTGGGAGCGCCTTGATTTAAACATGATTCAACAACGTCGGCAAATATTAACCATTTTCGCATCCCAAAACTTTAGTCAGGTCGAAACGAAATATGTCCAAACAAAATATCCCATCCAAGAGCCGTTTAGTGCTTTAGTGCAACGAACGGTGGTTTTAATTAGTTTTTGATTATTGAAATCAAGATATGAATTATAAACAACAATCAAATGATATGTGCCAAAATTGTGAAAGATGTTTAACAGTGGTTAATATGGTTATCAGACATAAAACAAGGACCACTAAGGGTTACCTTAAGATGATTTAGTCGAGTAGGCATACTCCAGTTTGCTACTGACAGAGTTGAATTCGAAGAAAAGTCTTCCAAAATGAGTTAAGACCGAGTTGGTTAACTCATAGAGTAATTTCGGATAGGGTACACCGTCTGCTCGTCACGCTATCTTATTTTCGGCCGGATAGATTCGTGCAACTTCTTAGTCTAATACCGATCCTAATCTTACTCTTATACTATCTAGTCTCAGGTTGTTTAACTAGTCTCTGCTAGGCTCAATAGATCTAGGGTATACTGGTTTATTGCGGCTGCTGAAGTGCTCGGGAGAGTCCAACTAATTTCTAAGTTAAATTCAAATCTCTCTGGTGCTGAAATTAGAAGTAACTTCAGCACTTACAAATAAGTGGGTTGTTAGTTAGATGGATCATGATTGGTTAATATTAAATACTTTACATTGGTAAAATATCTAAATTATCCAATCATAAAATGTAGTTTAGATCAGGTTCCACCCATCCGGGTTTTACAGAGTTTTTTAGAATAGTTCTTCTGCAATTCGAAGGATGGATGATGGAAGTTGGTGTTTGGCGAACATCTTATTTCTTCTGTTTCATTTTTGTTAAAGAAGTTCCAGGAAGCTGGAGTTAGAGACATAAGACGTTGTGTCTTCTAGTGACAACGACTAAGTCTTTGCAACAAACTCAAATCTGATTTCAGAATGGTTTGCTATGTCAGGTTTTTCTGTTCTGCGTGGAGATTGTGCGTGGAGGGGATGCCTGGTTACTCGGATCTGTACGTATACTTGAACATCGAGGTGGTCATTGGTCTAGTTCAATGAAGTCCTTTTCTGCGAAGTCAAGTCGTACTCTAAATCCTTTGAGTTGTGATTGTGAGTGGCATATCGATTGTGGTTGGTCATTCTCTCTCGAGTGTAGTGGGATCTTTAGATGTTCGTCCTTGGTGTTGTATTCTGATCTATGTATTGCATAATGTAATTTACATTTTATAAAACATTTATTAGTTTAATATTTTTTAATTATGATTTTAGTTAGTTGTTTTCACAAAAGCTTTTTGTTTTAGTTCGGTTATTTTGAAGAGTTACTCACACTTGAGTAGCTCTTATTAAAAATAGAGGTGTGGTCACAAAGCGTGGATGTAGCGCGGTGGGTTAGGCCGGCTATAGAGCATGCTCAGGACGTCCTTCCTGGTGGGTTAGGCCAGGAATGGGAGTATGATTTCATGCGGTTTTTGTGAGGGGTCCTGTTATGTGACAACGTTTTATGTTGGGTTTGTTGTGGTTTTTCTTATGTCTTGTTGGTTATGTCCTTTTTCCAAAAAGTAAATTGTTCGTGGTATGGGTTTGTCTTTCGACTTTTTTGTGTTTTATTATTTCTTTCTTAGACTTTATAATAGTCTTCAAAAGAATAAATTATCCAGTTTTAAACTGGGTTAATCCGGTTTGGGTACCGTTGGTTTCCTTTTCTTAGTCATGCTGTTATTCTATGATTTGTGGTATTTAGTAAGCTGCGTTGGTTAGTTTTGTTTAATATATGATTCCTTTCCAACCGGGTTAAAGGAAAGTTTGAAACATGTTATTATATGTTAGAGTTGTTGAGTGTGAAAACTTGAAACTGAAATTCATTATTTTAAACAATTCTTCGTGGGCGAGCTGTGCGAGTGTGGATAGAATTTCTGTGCGAATGAATGAAAATATCAAAAGGTTAGTACTGCAATTGCATTTTATTAATTTACTGCATAGAATTTGGAAATTTACTGCTAGTTATGGGGGAATTTTAAGTTACAAATTTTCATCATAATTAGATTTACTGCTTGTGGGGAAAATTTTAGAAATGAATTTATTGCATTGGTATTAAATTTATAAATTTATAAGTGTAAGAGATTAATAGAATTTTTGAAATCTGTTTGATGAAATTTGCGATTTTTATTTGTCTTTTGTGGTCTTTGTAGGTGATTGTCGGATGAAGGCTAAAAATCTAAAGAAAACATGGATAAAGTATGGTGAGTTTTTTAATATTTTAATTAGTTAGTAATATTCATTTAATTCATACTTACCTGTTAGTCGTCGGGGAAAAAACCGTGGGGGAAGATGTCGTGAATTAGTTCTGAAGTTGTTAGTAGTTTAGCTAAGATGCGGATGATATTTTTAGTCTGAAGCAGTGGCCAAAGCAATTGAAGTGCCTTAATAGTGGTTAGTTCTTCAGTGCCAACTGCAAACTCATAAGGTGTGTTTTGGATTAGATTATATAATTTGTGATTGAATTTAGTGTTGTGGATGAATTCTAAAATTGGGATTTCTATAGGTTGTACAAACTCGTGCGGGATAAGGAAGGGTCGGGATTCTTCGGCGTTGAAGGTCTTGGTGATGGGACAGAAGATGTACATTTGGGTTATGGGGTCATAATTACGAAGAATACCATGGAGGTTAGTGTCTTTAATACAATATGTGAAATTTAGGAAAAATGGTGAAGTGTATTTGGAATTAATGAATTGAAAACGATGGTGTGGTTGTCTAGAGGGTGTGTGTAGGTCAAAGTGATT